TGCATTATCACATCTTGCTCATATTTTTATTTTACAAAGATTAGGGTCTGGGCTAAAGAAAGAACTTGAAAGTTATAGAGTACAATAAGAGAGAAAAAACCGGAAAGCACTGAAACCTCGAATCATACAGGATTTGGAAGTGATCGGACGAGGAAGGTAAGCTTGAACACGGCATGAAACAAATTGGCGCTAAAGTAGTTAGTTGGACGCCCAATACACATGAATAAATTACAAAAAAGGAGAAATGAAAAGGCATACGGGCTCAACAAGAGCACCTAATCATAACAAAGCAAACAGTGAAAATATGAATATCGTAGTTCAGGCACGAGTGGAAGGTTATAGAGGCAAACCTTTGACCGGATGATAGACGGTCTCTTTATGTGCAGGCGCGGTACAGTATTAAAAAAGAAAGTTGATACAAAAAGAGCGCAAAGATATGAGTAAATAAAATTTACAAAGTGTACAGGAATATATACCAGACGAGCAAAAGTAACTAAGTTAAAGAATGAAGAGATCAATCAGACTACTCGTTCTGGTATTGGTGCGCTCTAGTGAGAGAGAAGTAGAAACACCTTTCATTATGGCCAAAGAAATAAGGGATAAAAATGTTGTGAAAATAATTAAGGATTATATTTAAATAAAAGATTAATTCGAAGACATACGTCTATGGTCACTAGCTTATCTGCCCAAGCAATTGTGCTGAGCCAAATTTATCAAAAAAGCAGAAAGGAAACTGGGTCTCTAGCACTCGGTTTCAAATTATGCTCTCTGGATTGATGTCCAAGATGACTAAATCTTAAATTGTCCTTCAGCCATATTTTAAGGTCTATTAGAAAATAAATAAGTAGAGCTGGAAGTAGGAAAGATAAGTAATTTAATGAATGGTCATTAAGAGGAGTTAAATATAGTCGCGCATAATTTACATTAAGCTGCACTACTTAAGTAGTGAGGCAAGTAACATAATATTTTTTAATAAAATAAATGCGCGAAAATACGGAAATGTATATTTGCAAATGATTACGCGTGTGTATCTGAATAAGAAAACAAGTTTAATATCAAAGATATAAAGAAATAGCCCTTTTCAATGGGCTTAAAGAAATAAAAGTGAAAGTTGCAGTCAAAAATTTGGCGGTTAAACTGATATAGAATTTTTTTAAACAAATAAACACAGCCACTTTGAAGTCTGGCAATTGAGTTTGGCTTGATGGTGGTAGGAGTTGAATGGAATAACACGAGTTAAAGAGTGGAATATGACGGTATAAGGAGCGGAGTAAAGAATAACATGGTTGAGAAAATGACCAGAGAAAGCAGAAACGCGCAGGAAAGAAATTTTGACTGACTCGATGGATGTTCGAGCTCAATACAGTCGTGGGGCAAAGCACACAAAAAATATTATAAAAGGATGTCAGGTTCTCATTAATAAGTATGCATTTATGTACATCCGCAAATCTTAAAGTCCCCGAATTATCAAAACTAAGGCATGCTGTCTATGCAGAATAGTAAATGATTGCACTTAAGTAGGATGCCAAACAGGATATACAAACAAGCAAAAGACAAAACGCAACGTAATTCGCGTCAACAGATCACCTTAAATATTTTTGACTTATGAGATTGTCAAACTCTTTCCGCTAGCGTCCACAGCACACCGACACATATGAGGTGACAAACAATCAAGAATTTTGTACTCTGAATCATCTCCACAACATGTCTACATGACCAATGCACACAGAGTTTGACATTTCCGGGCTGTTTCATAATTATAATTTACTATCTGTAACTGAAGGGTTACTTAGAGAATAGGGGTATAGCGAGAGGTAATGCTGTTACAAACGAAATTCTCAAAATACTTCAAGTAACCAGCAACAATTTGGCCTTACCACAGACCATAGTAGCTCATAGCTCTTATCCGGAGGAGCATAGAGACAGTTATCACAGGTAGATAAGCCTAAGGGGCTAAATAACGGAGAAAGTGGCTATCCTCAATAATGATAGCTGAGATACACATTCGGATCAGTAGCATACAAATAAATAAATAAATAAAAATAATAACATGAACGAACCAAGCCAACGTTAAGTGAAATATGAAATATTCGCAGAGGCAAAAACCAAGAAAAATAAGAGGCATTCATTTCTTGTCTATGGACGAAACATAGATTGATAAGTGATCGGAAGACATAGCTGCGTAGGTGAAGGCAGGATACACATAAATTAATGATCACAAAATATGGAAATACAACGATAAAAAATTCAAAAATTTTTCATAGGTGACGGTATATGTATCCAGGTGACGGTATAAGAATATCGAAATGATTAAAGTTGCAAACAAAGGGGGGATTTATGATATCATAATTCTTCATGCCAGACACCGGTACCAGGCAAGGAGATGGCGTTCGAAGTGGCCTCTAGAGGCAAACGGAAGGAAAGTTCTTCAGACGAAAGGAAGGAAGAATAGTGCGGAGATAAAGATCGATTAGATGGAGGTAGAAAGGTCTGAGAGAGATGGGTTCGTGAAGAGATGAGATGATTCGCTTGTCCACTGCGCAACGGGCTGCGCTCTAGTCGTTGAAGCCCAGATTTTCCTGGACCATTGTGAGAAACCATGGAGTCTCTTAAGCGTGGGAGGAGAGGTCGAACTTGAGAGACAGGCGACGAGACAAACGAAGGTAACGGTGAGGATGGCCTGGCAAACAAAGTCGGCGACGGTGGCGACGGAGGCGGGAGGGGACTAAAAATAGGTATATTAGGCTGGAAGAGACCATTTTCGTCGGAAGAATGAAGACAAGGCAAGGTCAGCGGATTATTGATCATGGCCATGATGCTGGGGTCGGAGCAGACACCATGGTCACTGCCGTCAAGACAGCAAGAAGTGTCAAAGTCATCTTGATCATCCAAAGGAGCGGGAGGCATAGAAGCTTTAAGATATATTTTAGCTAGTTTAGGAGTTACCAGCAATTCGGCAGAAGACTCTGGCTTCTGGACGTCAGGAAAAACCTTTGACATATCTTCAAATTTCAGGTGTCTTGAGACCCGAAGATCAAGTCCCGCAGTGTTAGGACAGCCAGACGCA